ACGAATATTGGTTATTTATTCGTTTTACACGATATGTCTTATAAAGCAGACGTGTATTAGATCGCTCATAACTTGTCGATTTTTCTTAGTGTCCCTGGCTCGCCTTCAAAATAAAGCATTTGTTGATTTTTTAATTCTTTCTCATGTGCTACAAATTTTAAATCGATGGTCATTTTACTTGTACGTTGACAATTGAGGATGCAGAACCACTGCCACTTTTCTCGTTAATTGTTTAGTTATGGGTTTTAGTTGTTGCTCGTAAACCGATTTTAAAATGCTGCAAATTTTGGACTTTATTCTTTTTTTCTAAATGTTGATCTAGAGTCACCACCCCCTTATTCCCACCCCGACATTCCGTTTGATAAGAAGCCCAATAGTGATGATCAGATGAATAAGGAGAGCAAAGGAGGCGGTTCTACACTACCTCCCACAAACGATGACGATGACTTCGACGCTCTTTCTGCCCGGTTTAATAATCTGCGTAAAGATAACTAACTTACTTTCCCCCATATTACCTAGAACTACTTCTCTTCATTTTGCTGTACTCGGACGTACTTTCATCGGATATTGTTGTTACTTGAATGCTGCACAATTTTTTACTTGTTTACTGGTCGTTAAATTGGCTGACAACCTTTTTGATTGGCTCTACCGAGTAATTCAAACTTGGAATGCATCGTCTGCACTTGAATGTGAATATTTCAATCGGTAGAATTCGCCATTTGACGACACGTGATGCCTATAATCACCACGCAGATCTGGGTCGTTTTACGAGTGGGCTGGCATGAAAGCAACCTCCCACGCAGTCTCGTTAATATTTTAATTGACCAGGCTTAGAAATAAGGTGGTGTGAACCGTCTTGAAATAAACTAAATCACGTTTTTTTGTTATGCGACCGGCTGAGGTAGCGGTGGGCTAGTTTTCTGCGCTTACGGTTGAGCTTTCTGCAGAATAGCATGGCAAATTCTTGAGTGCAGGTTTTTTTTTTGTTTTTGTGAAGATCCTGTGGGTGACAATGGTAACCACGCTGACAATAGCCTCCATAGCCCTCCCCCACAACGAATTCCACTCTCTTAAGCGATTCGGCTTTGTGGCTTGGTATGCAGTCCGATGCTCTAAACGGGATGGTGTTTTAATGCAACATTATTCACACAAGCAATATTGCCGGGATGCAACCGGCATTCCGAAACTGTTGTTTCACTTAGATAAAATAGGTATTAATTCCCACAAAGAGCGGTAATAATACACTTCTAAATGGGTGAGCTTTGATGAGATTTAACAGTTCCCACTCGTACCACCAAGGTGGGCTTCATCATTCCAAACACTTCATCATCTATTGCCATCTTTGAAGGAATAATGGTAGGCGGCAGCGTGAGGCATATTAAACCCTAAAGTGCAGAGGGGTTGGGAAGCCTTTGGGGTGAGTCAGATGGCATAATGACAAGGCAATAACCGAAATTGCGGAAGCTGAGGAGCTTGTGTAGGTGAACAGGTCACCTGGGCAAATAGGCTAGTAATGAGCCTCAAGGAGCCTCATAGCTCAAATATCAAAATAAGCAAAACAATGTTTGGTCCATTCTTTCGAACTTTGACAGTGAGTGCATAAAATGGGGCGTTCATTGGTGTCATTAATGGGTAAACGCTTGTCACTGGCTGTTTTCGTACAAAGCTGTACAAATTGCTCACTCATTTGATTAAATAAAAGAGCAGCTTAACTAGCCCATCTTTAACAAGTGACTTCCGTATTATTTAATATTCGCTGGTATTTATAGTGTGAGTAATAGTGTCCTTGAGACTCTTACCGCGTATTCCAATGATCCTATCAGACTAGATGAGAAAGATTATGGGCTGAGAAAAAGGCTTTGTTATCATTTTGGCAAGCACAATGCGAATGGAGGGACCACAACGCTAATCTTTACAATAGATTAAATGACTAGTGTCATCAGTAACAGGAACTAATGAAATACCGAGGTGTCAGGAGACTATTACTGATTTGATTAAAAAATAATAAAAAAGGGTCTCATTACTGATAAAGGACTGCGATGTAGAGGTAATTACAGTGATTTATGCGCATTTGTTTTCAAACCCTCTCCTTTGAAATTTACAGCAGCCTTCATTTTGAGAGATTACTTTGTTGACACTAGTTGTGATATGCTTACAATAGCTAAGGATTTAAATTAACAAAGCTCTGTTACACTTGTGTGTCTGATTACATTGACATACACCACTATCAGAATTCAAAAAATGGTAAGCGTGACGCCTTTTTTCCATATGTTTTGTATAACTGAAATTGATAATCGAGATGGTGTATCGAAGGCACTACTTAAATGTACTCAGTGATTTACAGTTGTAATCACACGAAACAAAAAAATTGAGACTCTGGTTGGTGAAAAATACATAGAACCTCTGAAGATTGTAAGATCCACCAATCATTTAAACAATATCTCCTTTTCGTAGAAAGTAATTCATCATATGGTTTTAGGTAGTGAAACGAAAGAAATCGCCACAAGCACGTGATTCTGACTTTTACTTCTTCATACTTTAGGCACACAGAGGTAAGTGAGTGCGTCAACTAGTATTATAAAGGTGATTCTGAGCGTCTTTTCGTATGGCAAATCTTAAAATAGACGCCCCCAATGTGCCAGTTATCAATTCAAAAATATCTTAAACAATTGCAATTTAACCAAGTAATTTTGATCGACCAGAGAGAACCAAATGTAATTCGATTGTAAAAAATTTATCCGGGCCAGCATCTGTAGCAGTTTGGTATTTGATAAGGCTGTGTGTTTTACCGCGCGGACGCTCAAGTCTACGTAGCTTGATCGTCTACACCGCTGCGTTGCCTTCTAGTCAGGCAAATAACCTGTTAATTTTGATTTTGCCATGCTCCAACGCCAAATAACGACCCATTTTCCTTATATTGAGAGAATATTCATCCGATAAAATGTCAGAATAGTTAGTAGAATATGAAAACAAAATTGGTTTTTCGAGAAGGCAAAAATCGTGAGATGGTCCGTCGCTTATGTAGCGCCCCGAGACTTCTCTGAAGACGAAAGAAGACTTATACTTGGGGAAGAGCATGTGTTGCTGACCTGCAGTAGAACTTAGGGCTACCGACATGGCCCAAGGGTCAGACCGCCCAGCTCAAGAGCAATGGCGGAGCCCATTCCTGGCCCGTTAGCAAATGGGATCCGCTTTACTGATCAAACTTTATAAGCCAAGACCGAATTTATTATATTTTCTAACATGTACCAAAAACCGAATTCCCATGGATACCTTTTAAAATCACATAAAAACCTTGAGGAGGCACCTAAGATACAAATACCCGTTGGATCTTATAGTCTCAAGCGATCCTTTTTGATCAGTCGTATGGACTTTTGACGTCCCATCAAGTGGCAGCAAGTGAGTAAGCCACATCAAAAACTTACAAAATTTTCCCACCAGGTATTTTTGAATGCATATTGCACCTTGAGAGTATCACAGCCCTTTGTAGTGACAGTAATTAAACAGTTTTGGCAAAGTGACACAATTAAGTTGCTCCTATTAATGCGTGTCGCACCAGAGTGGCAATACATACACGTCTTTATAAAATAGCTTGAAGGTTGTTTCTACCCTGATGGCAAATTACAGATAAGTAAAATGCTGCTTCATTAATGAATTTCACTTATCTTCGTCTCTTTCCGTTAATCTCCATTATTAACAAGGCCCAGACATCAGGTTAATGGGGTTCCAATGCCACAGTACTGTCATTGCCTTGTTTTCACTCGTCGGCAAGGAAGTCTCGGAGAGCTACAATGGTGGTAGCAGAAAGCGAACCCTATCTTAAAACACAAAGATCAAAATTTCCACTGCTCGGTGATGAACCTTAGCAGGGGAGAGGAAGTGCATATGCTGTGGAAAGGGAAATCTGTGATAACCCCTAGCTGAAGGCTTGAAAATGACTACCTTCTCCAAATACCCCAGCCCCATCGGTGCAGGAAAGCTATCAACGACTGAAGCGACACTAGCCATGACCCATCTGGAGAAGTCCGTTGCGGGGCTTTCTACTGTTCTTGTATTTGACGATGTCAATAAAGAGAACACGCGGTACCTCCTCCACTGAGCCCAGATAGATAAGGCAGAGTAGTAATGAAGTGGGAACAAATGTGCCAAGAAAGGACACATGTGAAAGCTTATCTTCACGGAACCATGTTAAACCTTCACTTTTGTTATATGACTCTGCTTTTAGGTCAGTGTTGCTATGACTACCGATGGGCATACGGGTAGGTCAGCATATTTCCCCTTCTCTCTCTCCAGACCCAGTGGAATTACCAAGAGGGATTAACGAGGCTGCAGTCAAGTTGTACGCAAATTCGATGATTGAAACGGTTAGCTCGCGGGTGTTCCCCTTATAGTGCCTACTACTCTTGTGGTCCCGCTAGGAGGTTTAACCTCCGAGTCTTACTAGTTACCCCTTATCCCTTCTGTACGTTAGCAATAATTATTCTGTCTAAGTGTTGCAACTTCTTTCGTCTTCAGGAGGAAATCGGGCGCTACATCAAGCCCTACGGAAACTTTTGGATGTGCGTCATTACCGCCCCACAACTGTAATAAATACTATTTGTTTGTAATCGAACTTACATAACCTCCAGATTGATGGGGTGTCACAGTTATGTAGAGAAAAATGGCTTACGCTTCTAGGTAGGTGGAATACAACGACTCCCTATACTCAGTTCTCAATGATCTCAAGGTGTCATGTCCCCTACAATGCGTACGGTTACCAAATAACTGTGTGTAAATTTTGTATTACAAATTGGATAGCCGTAGAAACCTTCTTGTCGAATTTGCAAATGGTCTGCTGTCAAATGAGGCTCCTAAACTGTTTCTCTCCAACAGAAAACAGGTATATAGTACTGAATTACATCACAGTAGACTAAACACCACCAGTTCCTATGGAAACGTTACGATGAATGGAGGACTTGAAGAGGAGCTAGTAGTATTTTACATTCATTGCACAAGTTTTTTATGAAGCATGCAAAGGCCTAAGGATTAAATTAAGATATATCTACATCTTCCAATCCTATGCTAAGCATTTATTTGGACCTGAATCACTTTTAGTACCCCTTCCATAAGTTTCAGCAAAGTTTTTGGTACTTTTATAGGGAAGGATTCTAGTTTCCTGCAAATAGACCTAATTATCTTGTACTTCATTCCCCCTTAACCATGTTGAAAGGCTTAATATGAGCTCTTACGTCTTAAAGAGTAATTCGGATGCGACATATGAATGCCGGGGTCTTCCAATTCAATCTGTTTCTATTTTAGAGTGCTTCATCCCCGATCTTGTGCCCCTTCTAGCCATAAAAGTTGATTCCCCCATATCAAAAAACCATAAAATTATTTAATAACATTTTCAAAAGCAGCTTTTTGTTGTCCACAAGGAACAAAGGACCCACGTACTCCGACAATGCCCCGTTGCCTTGAAAGCTGTAAATTAAGGCATGTCATTATATTACAGTGTAATATTTAGATGCGTACATCAAACCATAGTGTGGAGACTATTATAACCTGGAATAAAGGCATTGCTGCTCTTAGTCTTGGCACAGATCAAATTCAACGATGAGCCGACTTAGTCTGAAGGACCAGATTCTGGAATGTGTCCTAATTACGGATTCAGTTAAACGAGGAGCTAGGTGGAGTGGGCTTTTAACACCAAGGTGAAAGAGTGGTGAAATGACAGAGTATTGACAGACTTGAGTCAACTTTTATTAAAAATCGTGAAGAAGTGATCAAAAAGTGGATTTTACCATTAAGAATACAGTTATTTAACCACAGTAATATCAAGTAAATTGAAGGCCAAATAAATCACTTCGAATGAAGACTCGAACACTTTAGCGCTTGACTAAGGCGACTAACAACTAAAACAGCCTCACTCTCGACATCACTGGAATTGTTACTGGCATCTATCTTCGAAGTCTCTATTAAAACCGGATTATCTAATTCCTTTCTAACCGGCAATATAGCCATGAATTTAAAAATAAGTTTTGGGAATCTTTACCTGAAGGGTTTGACTCATTTGGATCAGTACACGCCTACTGTTAGCTGGCCTTCATCCTCTTGCCCCACTTTCTCACCTTCATCTTCCTCCCCTTCGCCCTCTTGACCATCCTCCTCCTCTTCCTCTAGCTCTATATCCAAAACTTCCTCCACTCCTATCTCTACTCCTTCTTCTTCTTCCTCCCCTTCCTCTTCTTCTTCTTCTTCTATATCATCATCTTTCTGTCCCTCTTCTTCATCTTCACTGTCCTCATTCTCGTCCTCTTCCTCCTTCTCCTCCTCGTCTTCATCTTCACTGCTCTCATTCTCGTCCTCTTCTTCCTCCTCCTCCTCCTCGTCTTCATCTTCACTGCTCTCAT